ATAAACTGACCTGTGTGAGTAATTCAGCACTTGCGAGTAGTTCGGTAGAATTAAATGTCCTTATTCCTTTATATCCGCGGGACTCACGTGTGATATCTGTCTCTTTAGCAATCGCGACCTGCTTCATACTACTGTAATGTTAAAAAACATGAATGTTTGCACTCATCCATAAACATTATTAGATCCATCAGCTTGACAGCAAGTCCCATCATTCAGCTCATCACTGCGTCATAAATCTACGCCTTTGTTATTGTTGGAAACTGCGCCCTCCTGTGGCGAAAAAAAAACTACATATTGTGCCTTTCATATCATCACAGTTTTCGTTTAATGACCTTGGTGTCGTCTCGTCATCTACTTGTATGGAAAAAAGGTTGTTGACAACCATTTTTCGTCAGTTTTACGTTAACGAAATTAACACTAACTAAACAATGATTTTAAATTCTACAAGTTACTTTAGGCATCACAACATTATGATGTACATTGTGAAAATTATAAAGTCATTTTGAGATTAGCATTGGTATTAGGGCTGGGCGATATGACGATATTCTCGAATATCGACGATGTCTCGCAAGTATCGCGATGTCGATTTAACAGTCTGTTGCCAGACGATAATCGTCAATATCAAAAAATGACATAGGCTTATATTTCACATAGCCCTATAGTTAAACATATTTATTCACATCACCATGCAATAAGATGAATGAAATATTTTTTTATAGGCTAGTTAGTAGGATTAAGAATAGAAAATCGATTCTTGATAGCATTCTTAAAGCGCAAGACGAAAGAGAACACGTCTGCATGCGCGCTGTTTTCTGAGCTGCGCACTCACGCAAACAGCGCAAAGAGCCTCTCACATAGTGCACGGACAAATACACAGAATTATATCTCACAATTATACTTCTAGTTAATTTATAGCATCAAATAAACATGAATAAACATCAGAAGAATTATTGTTTCAACCGTGGAAAGACTTCAGTAGGTAGGCTACACACCTCTTTTCAAGTTCAAATATCCCCGTAAACACAGCCGGTTTTGTCTTAACGGTTGAGAAAGTAAACCAGTAGTGTCCATTGAATCAGTCCACTGACAGCCTATACTCGCTGCCACCATTAATGTTGATCAAAGAACAAAAGAAAAAGAAAATCACTCACTGAACTTTTGTAACTTTAATTAGCTTAATATTTTATTTGCCTGTTGTTCGGCGCTGACTGCTCCAACTGCAACATGAGTCTGTGCGACCTTGAGATGCGTTCCCTGTCAAACATCATTTGTCCTTACTTTCGTAATTTTGTTAAACATTTTTCTTCATATAATCAAGTAGCCTAGGCCTATTTTATTTTGGTTTGCAGGCTGATAAAAGTTCATCAGAAAAACAAATGGTAGAAGCTAACTTTACCCGTTTCTGAATATTAATTTAAATGTTGCACATAATAAATAGGCCTAATCAAAAAGCACAAACGTGACCATTGTAATTAAAATTAAAATAAAAATGTCGTTATATTGCAAACGGATGAAGAAATTGCGTTTGAATAGGCTATCTCATGCACGCGTTCGGAGCAATGTTGGCAGCTCCGTAGGCTATATTGGGAGCGTTATAGTTTTTAATGACTTCTGTTTCTAAATAAATAAAGCAGTCATTTTTATTTCTTAAACGGCTTAAGGTGAACTGGGAACTAAAACCAAAAAGGAGGAAAAAAACAAAACGTGTTTGCTACTTCAGAACGACAATTCGTTTTTAATTCCTAATTTTAGACAAATAACAAATATATTATAGTTTGAAAATACAAGTTTAAAAACAGCGCTACACATAGGAAATTAAACTTATTATTAAATCAGGCGATACCGCCAAAAAAAAGGAGAAAATCGGACCTTATGAAAAACAAATAGACAAGACACCTAGCTATAACATCAACATGCATTCACCATTCTTACAATCACCAAATTGTGTTCTGTTCTGTTCAGTTGTAGGCCTATTTAACATTTCTCCTTTGCGAAACGAAATTCGTTTCAAACACAGATGCAATAAGAACAGTGAGGAAATTATTAGCAACACTAACATAACAAGCAAAGCTAATGTTTTATGCTCGTTTAAGCTCAAACTAACCAAAGTAAAACCTTTAACGTTTCAATCATTAAATTAAACCAACTAAATCGCAGGCTATCATTAGATAAAGTGCAGCCAAACTCAATATGACTTGTGTTAACGTGTATTCCATATGTGTTGTCTCCAGCGGGGCGCATAGGGGGCGGGGCTTGGGTAGACGATATATAATCGGATATCGCGATATTTTTTAAGGCGATTATCGATAAAATATTTTTTACATATCGCCCAGCCCTAATTGGTATTAAATTATTGTTTTTAAAGATAAACTTTAAGTGAAAGTTAGCCTAGATGATGGCAAAAGGTAATGTAATGTTAAATGAACATGTACAACTAAATATACAATCTGCAGATACCAATACATAACACTGTTTTGATTCTGACTATACTAAGTGCAGGTCACAAGACAACATGCTAGCTTAGATGCAACTTATAAGCAAACTGAAAACTCGATTTTAACACATAAATGGTTAGCAAACCAATTACAAGTGGCCTGATTGTTCCATTGACATCATGAAAAGTGCTGTCAATATTGTTGGTGTGGCCTGGTTCCACATCCTTGTACTTTGTGACACAACTTGTCTGATCCTTCATTAAACCAAAGATTGACAGAAAAATTCATTAAAGCAATAGCGCTAAATAAAAAATGTTGATAAACTTTCATGAGCCAATCCATCTCGATTATTCTGATGAAAGCGGACTGAGCGCTCTTTTAGAAAAGATTTCCCAAACACGCACGCACAAAACAGACATTTCCGCGTTACAACTGAGAGCGATCATTAAATATGCGCCGAAATAATTACAGAGAACATCTCTCTTCAAAGTAAACTTGAAAAGCCATACATCCAGCTATCCAAGAAGGAAAATTAATTGATTCTCATCTATGTCTGAGAGCAACGTTTATCCAAAACAGAGCAAATCAGACGCTCTTCATAAGAACAACGTCCTGTTTCTGTGAGCATGCCTGATTCCCTTTATATGTAGCTGAAAACACCTCTATAAAGGGGGCTTAACCATCTGGATGAAATCAAAACCATGCATTCAGACCTACTCGCTGCCTCTTAGACACACCAATAAACTCAGGGAACCCAGAGAAGTGCTCAAGATGTTGGGGGAAAATAAGAGATGGAGACCCAGACCAGAATCTGTTTTCATTAATTTCCACTCCAAAAAACACAATGCGCAATTTCTTGTGGCATTCCGGCTAATTTGTGAAATCTGATCGAATCTTCCGAACCTGTGGACCTGAGCCGTGCACACTAAACTTTGACGAACCAGAGCATAGATATCGGTTTAAAACTAATTAAAGTCAAGAATGACGCAATAAACTTGACATTACTGATTCGTAGAGCCCTCATAGTGCACTTTTTCATGCGGTTTCTCCATGCAAACTTGCCATGGACGCCAGTGGATGATGTTTAAACTTCATTAGTCCACCCTAAAAACCTAAGCTGACTATGAAACCAGTTCCTTGAGGTTAATAGCACCTTTGCTTGACTAGTGCCGACGAAACAAAGCCTGTGTGGTCACAACACCACATTTTTTAATACAACACGATAAAAAGTAACCTGCAGTGTTAATGCAGCGCCCGTGGCACCAACACTTGAGGACCGTCCACATCCTTGCACTAAACATGAATGATGGACCCATACAACTTCACATTAATTATTATAAGAGACGAAATTAAAACGTCAGGATAAGTAAAAGTTTCTTGGAAAGATAACACATTGTAAGGGACAACGCAAACTTTTGGGAAGCTTTTCACGCAAAAACTACAACATAACATTGAAATGAGTATTCTTAAAGTGAAAAGCAACATCTGAATGGCGAAATGACTCAAGCCAGGTTTGAAAAACCTCACCAGTTACACTTTCCTTCAGAATTTCCATACAAAGATGGTATTGTTGTTAGCAACTTCTCTCGCCTTGACAAAAGGATGCTGATCTCCTATACATCATATTCACAGTGTGTTCATGCAGTTTAACCTTATAATATTCCCTTAAGTGTGTTATGTGTCCACAACAGCTGAAAGTCATCTCAGACTCCTCACATACTATGGCAGTCTCCAAGTCTGACACAGTAGCCTATGACCACCATATGACAGATTTATGAATATTATAGGTCACTTTTACAAGACTTTATTACATTTAAGGTTTGTAAGATTGTTTCTATGGCAACAGATTGTACACAGCAGTGGAAAGATCACATGGTGATGTAGTGCCATAAAATATTACACTATGCAGTGTGGAAAAGTCACCAAAACTTGAAGCAACACGAGTTTTCATAAACAGCCGGTGCTTTAACGTTACCCCTTCAACAAAACACTAAATATTAAAACATAATCAGGGGATATGCACGCATCGGTGTTACTTGTAGCAAAGCAAATGTTAGAATTGCTCAAATATCTTATCAGTCAGCTTTAAAACGCAAAGGAAAACGTGATGAGATAAAAAAAAAATAACATTGAGTTCAAACCAAACACGATCGCGTACTAAACATCTCCAAAACTTTGTCTGAAATTCACGAGATAAAGAATCGGATGTATTTATCCATCAATTTAACTCATAAACAACAGATGCACGGCAACTAATGTTGATGCAAAAGATGCACAAGCCACATAATGAGAGATGGAAGCATGCAACATCACTCAGATTGGATGCATTGGACAGTTCAAGCGTTCACGTGCGCACCCAAACTTAAATAAAATCGAAATGCATGGACACCTAAAACCATTAAAGTGCCACAACCAGCTATAAAGTTAGAGAGATCCAGGGAATATCACTCCAGAGAACAAATTCACACTAAATACACCTTCAAACAATAGTACGCACAGTTTTAGAAAGTTCCGAGTCCGCAATAAGCAAAGCGAGACTCTTTAAAGCGCGCGCAATTCACTTACTTTTCTCTCGCTTGACTATCAGAAGGGACGACAGCTCCTTTACCTTTGGCGTACATGCTGGATTCTGTTTTAAGACTTTTACCCCACTCAACACCTGTCAAAGAAAGCAGCCAGGAAAACGTTCTATCTCCATAGCTACCCCCTTTAGTGTTTTCCCTCTCCCCCACCTCCTCCTCCTCCTCCTCTTCTCTCCCTTTTTTTTTTTTTTTTTTACATCTCCAACATTGGCCACAAATCAGGCACAGTTTCTATTGGGGGGACTTGAAACAGGTCGCTGGTGATTTTTTTTCTCTCTCGCGCGCTGTTCCAGGAATGTGTTCTGCCTCCCGCTGCGCCAGGAGAGGTGGGGGCCTCTTAAAGGGGAACGCACACTCTTCTCGTGTTTACTTGGCACAGAGGCTGAAATGGAAAAGACGCTAACATTGCCTCGGGCCTTCGTGTAAGACTTTGAGGTTTTGAAAGTAAGAATTTACGCTTGTGTTCCAAGATTGGGAATTGTTTTGTCCATTATTTTAACTTAAGGTTTATTTGACAATTTGAGATAAAATGCTGTTTGAAATATTAAAGATGACTAACATTCCTCGCTATCTGATATCCATTGTGTGGTTGATTTTGGATTGTGTTTGTAGGTGTGATCTGAAACGACGACACATAATATTTAAAGTCACCATGAAATAGGCTACAAACTGATCACTCTGAAGTATTTATTATAAATTATTTATCTGTGTACATTATTTTACTATGGATACATGGATACTTCCCCCTCCCGGTACCTGCAGAGACGTTTTTGCTTTTTAGCGGTGTGTTGGGGTTCCGGTACACCAGCCATGTCAACGAAACGAATGAATGAGCTTATCAATGCATATCTAAATTCGCGCCTATAGTATCTTTGTAGTACTTCAAAAAAAGAAGAAAAAAAGATGCTGCAGCCAATGAGCAGCCGGCGGGGGCTGGCTGCAGGATGACTCAACCTCCACGGACAGTTTAAGCATAATTTTCAGGACAATTAGGGCCGGATTCGGGATTTGGGACAACAGCTTAGATTTCGGGACTGTCCCGAATTTTCCGGGACGTCTGGTCACCCTATCCTAGGTGTATATGACTTTCTTCTTTCAGCCGAACACAATCAGAGTTAAATAATATCCTCGCTCTTCCAAGCTTTATAATGGCATTGAATAGTGCCTGAGTTTTTGAAGCCCCCAAAAGTGCATCCATCCATCATTAAAGTAATCCATTCTCCAGTGGGTTAATAAATGCCTTCTGAAAAATATCTATATTATAATCACTGGCTTCTGGCAACGACTGCATGCACGTTCATGAGAGAGTCGAGTTCCGGCAGAAGAGTGACCTCTGACCCGACGTAGCTTCTCTTCTCTTATATTGAATTCGTCCAAAATTTTCTTTAAAACTTTTTGTTTTAGACTTTTGATTCGTGACCGGCATTTTGTTCTGCGTTTGTCATTTATCACCTAAACTTACGCTACGTCTACGTCATATGAATATGAAATGTACATCACATCACATGCACTGTATACCCTAGCGTACACATTAAAACTGTGTATGTTTTGGGCTTTAGGTGGGAAATATATGGGTTTGAGGAGCAAGACTGTATCATCCTTAGAATTAGCTCTGGGACTCATAATAAAGCTTAATGGCTACAAACATATGGAAAGAGTCAAAATGCAGGTGTGTTTGAATGCTCGCACATCCTGCAAATTGTACATTTTAGGAGCATACATAGGATATTGTGGCCAACTCAACTGGTGAATCATTTTCAATAAAAAGCAAATAAGAATGAAATGCATCATCTGAAAGTTATGCCTCTCTGTTTTATCATCTTCATAAAGTCTCATTTGCTGAAGGAGCATGCTTAATGACATCAGCGGGTGAACCAAGGCATAAAGTATGATTATATTCTGTCGCTATCATTTGGTGTCCGTCCGTGATAGCTGAGGTTTCTCCATTTTGGAAATTTAACTGTAAATATTCAAATTATGACACTAAATGAGAACGGACACATCCAAAGACTTGATTTCCATGAGGCTATGGAACATCTCACGGCAGAGACTACTTTAGTGTCTCGTCATGACAGCTGGATCTCTATCAGACGTGCTTTAGAAACATTCAGCTTTCCCTGAGCACCTCAAATCTCCATAGAGTTGTTTTGTGTGTGTTTTTAAACCCATTGTTGATTTGTGCACCTAAATTTGGCCTCAATTCTTACACGTCAAAAAAAAAAAAATCCAGTTTAAACAGATCGTTTACGTCTCTGTACAGTCTTCAGAAGGATCCCAGCATTGGAAACAAGTGAATGGTATATTTTAATGGCGTCCCGGATCATCTCGGAGGATTATATGTTTGTTCGGAGCATTTTGTTTTGTAAACGAGGCACAGTGTAATAGAGAGTTTTGCAAAGAAATTTTGTTGAAAGATGAAGCAGCAATGCAGCAAGCCTTAAAGGAGCCGCGCCTTCAAAACGGATCATTTCACACAGAGGGTCAGAATGAAGGTTGAAAATAATCGTTTTTCCGCATATAAGTGAACCTCAAGGAACATATTAAAATATATATATATATATATAAATATATATATATATATATATGTATATATAGTGGTGGCCATGAATTAAGAATTTGTTTCCACAACTTATTAAATCATTCTTATTTGTTCCATCATTTTAGTTCAATTGACCGTTCGCAAAGACCCGCCCCCTTTAGTTACTACAAGCCACGGCGCTCTTACGCCACACCATTCTCACACCGCGAAAAATACATCGCGGAGCAGAGAGGACACTGACAACACGCTGACAGACAGGACAGACCAGGTTACTTTTTATATGAAACAAAGTCTCAACTTTCAAATTTGGTCATTTTTAAAGATATTTAAAAATCTTTCAAATCTTTGCTGTGATTGGTCTACTTTGCTCTGATTGATCAAATGGCCCAGTCTGTTGTGATTGGTCTACTTTGCTCTGATTGGTCAGATGGCCCAGTCTGTTGTGATTGGTCTACTTTGCTCTGATTGGTCAGATGGCCCAGTCTATTGTGATTGGTCTACTCTGCTCTGATTGGTCAGATGGCCCAGTCTGTTGTGATTGGTCTACTCTGCTCTGATTGGTCAGATGGCCCAGTCTATTGTGATTGGTCTACTCTGCTCTGATTGGTCAGATGGCCCAGTCTATTGTGATTGGTCTACTCTGCTCTGATTGATCAGATGGCCCAGTCTGTTGTGATTGGTCTACTTTGCTCTGATTGGTCAGATGGCCCAGTCTATTGTGATTGGTCTACTCTGCTCTGATTGGTCAGATGGCCCAGTCTATTGTGATTGGTCTACTCTGCTCTGATTGGTCAGATGGCCCAGTCTATTGTGATTGGTTTACTCTGCTCTGATTGGTCAGATGGCCCAGTCTGTTGTGATTGGTCTACTCTGCTCTGATTGGTCAGATGGCCCAGTCTATTGTGATTGGTCTACTCTGCTCTGATTGGTCAGATGGCCCAGTCTATTGTGATTGGTCTACTCTGCTCTGATTGGTCAGATGGTCCAGTCTATTGTGATTGGTCTACTCTGCTCTGATTGATCAGATGGCTCAGTCTGTTGTGATTGGTCTACTTTGCTCTGATTGGTCAGATGGCCCAGTCTGTTGTGATTGGTCTACTCTGTTCTGATTGGTCAGATGGCCCCGTCTGACCATTACCATATCTGAATTTCAGCTCCAGAGGCTTTCTCAGCGGTTGTTTACACAGTGATATGAACAGTAATGATGGAGTCGTTTTTTCCCGTATCAATCCAGCGCTAATCCTCATCCTTTGGAAGTGCGTGCAAAGTAAATTCGCAGGGCTGAAAGCAGTGTCTTCTCGACATGTCCACAACACGAACCAAACTCTTCCAGTCTCAGCTACAACTACTTCGTTTGAGGGTCAAAGTAGACGTTGATTGCGGGCAGCCAGTAAAGAGCATAGGCTGGCAATATGCAAATTTGTTACATTGTTACGTAGGTTTGTAACAGGAAGTAAGACTGGAATTGCTGACGATTAATTTCTGCAGTTCAGAATCGATTATTTCTTTTAAGAGACAATAACTTTATTTGTCGTGCACTTTGATCTTTAAAACTTTGCAGCTGCATTGCATGAAAGGTAATATTCGAAAAAGCATAATGGGGCACTTTAATATACAGTAGCATCCCTTGGGAGCAAATCAAAACACGGATTTGTCAAAACATTTGATTTTTGATCACACTTTTGAGTGTAATTTAACTAAGAAATCTGATAATATTCTACCACTTTTTCTGGTAGATCAAAACCAAAATAGTCAAAACTATAGCTGATCTTAGACCAGAACAGAAGACCCAGGAGAATGTCAAGACTGGCATAGCCCTAGAGTCTGTGTGAGGCCCCTGGAGAGGAAAGACAACCCAAAACACCCACAGAACTGACCACTCCTGTGACTCAACCTTGACTCACGCAAACCCTCTGATCTTTCACACTTCTTCACTCGGGCCCTTAGAAGTCTGACAGACCATATTTATTGCTGTGGAATAAGACGCTTAAAAAGGGATCTTTAAGAGAGACCATCCGACTAAACACAGGGATTCAGCCAATAGCCCGGGGTGACAGAGTTACTGTTGTTTGTTACTGTGGCAAGGCAAGAAACGACTTTACTTTATGTAGCGCACAGATTTCACAAAGCAATTTTACAGTTATTTTATCATTTTTAAATAATTGTAAATAAATAACTTACAAATTATTTTGTAAAATAAAGTTTTATACTACGTTTTACATATGTCATTTTATAATATAATTTTTAATACACTATCTTTTAAAAGTTTAAGTTCAGTAGGATTTTTTTTAAAAGAAATTAATACTTATATTCAGCACTGAAAATTGAAAAAGACAGATGCTGAAAATTCAGCTTTACCATCACAGGAATAAATTACATTTCAAAACATAGGCCAATATAAATAGAACAGTTGTTTTGAATTGTAATAATATTTCACAATTTTCACATTTTTGATCAAATAAATGCAGCCTCTGTGAGCATAAGAGACTTTTTCAAAAACATCACAAAATCTTACCAACCCCAAGCTTTTGATGTATACATTACATTAGTGTCAAATTGAAATGCTAATTGTATGTGCTTGATTGTCATGAAATTGTGCACAAAAAATTCTTATACTGAAA